TTAAAGTTCTTATTTATCTGGAGGAGTTACAATATTCTCTAATGGAATTAACTGTAAGAGTTGCTGAGGTAGCAAGCGAGGCCCTATCCTTCCAAAAATTGATGATAGGACTTTGGTTTTAATGTCTTGTTCCAACACATTTTTTCTTTATGGGTAAATACACAATATGATATTAATAAAACCTCTAGGATCAAATAGTAGACTACTTACTGATAACTTTCCTTGAAAAAAATGGGGGTTTTGGAAAGTTTCAAACGATTTTTTCTTCTTCTTCTTTGGAGGAAGCAAACTTGAAATATTAAGCTGACTTGTAGAACAAGAGGCCTTTAAACTAAAATTCGTAAGTAAGCCAAATTGAAGCAAGTTTTTTATTTTGTTTTAGTTCCAAAGTTGTTAGCAATCCAAATAGATTTGGTGGACCGAGTTTTTACATTTGGCCTACCCTGGATCGTTCTTCCCTCATTTGTGGGAGGAGGAAGGAGGTTAATAGAAATGATTTAGGATCTAATATATTCTATCAGAAAAAAAAAATCTCCAAGTTTCCAAATACTACGCTAAACAATAGCAAAAATGATAACAGTCCAAAAAGGTATTACAATTAGAAAAAAATGGGAACCATAGTTTTTTTATCTCCACCATTTAAATCATCATTCCTAATTCAACTTCATTTTATCTCCACCTTCCCCCTTCCTCCCCCCCATTTTAAATACTTGCCATCTTAATATTTCCAAATCAATGTTTTTGCTAGAAAATTAACAGCGTTCTTAAGTGGTATTTCTTACAATATTTTCACACTCAAGTTGTGTTCAAGGATGGATAGACAGATACATACATACATACATACATACAACCTCATCCTTTCAATACTAGGATACTTGAGTCAAAATTCATCTTGGAGTGAGGTGGAAGGAAAGGATTGTGGTGGTTTTTATAGCATTCTCATTTTCCATCCAGGTTTGTCCTTTTCTTAGACCCATTTTGTCACCTGAAGCAGAACTGGAGACAGGAAACCAGACAACAGTCTGCCCCCACAGGAGAGAGCATTGTCCAAAGGAGGTAGCCTTGCTTCCCCTACAACCCGAACCGCCCCTTCCTTGGAATTTCGCAGTAATAAAAAAGACACAATACTAGAGACACAGTTTCTGAACCAGGCCTATGACTGTTTTCCCCCAAAGCAAAATATATATATCTCCTCTTAACTGGCTCTCTGCTTTTTCTGGAATGTCACCATAGTTCAATGGAACATTTAAAAATTATCAGTATATTTTGTATCCCTCAGTCAGAGGGTTTAATAGTCAAGCTCTTTCTCTAGCAAAACAGGTTCCTAGAGCTTTTTGAAACTCACCCATTGTGTTGGCAGGCCGCATACATTATCATTTCCCCCATCTAATTATTAGGGGAGCTGAAGGCAGAATGAAGCAGGTTCAGTGGCCTTTCAGCCAATGTACTCCTTGTAACCCTGGGCCTGGCTCTGACCCCGATTTCCATGAAGGGGGTGTTTCCCGAGGCGGCCTCCTTCCAGGAGGACCCTGAGGAGCCCAGATTAACCTGGGACATGTCGCTCACGGTGGTTAACAATCTCTGGCAGGCCTGAGGGTCTCCAGGGATGGCCTGTAGCTAGTCTCACCCCAGATCAGTGGAGTGTGGCTCAATCTAGACATGGGAGATCAAATGGGCACAGAGGTCCGCGCGTCTACCCTGGAGAGCAACCTGTGAGTCAGGTGTGGGGTTTGCTCCTCTGGCCTGTACGCCCCTCTTTCTTTCTACTGACTGCCGTTCTTTGAGCCTGTCACTGAAACCCGCTCCTCTGCCTGTCCCCTCACGCTACACCCTGGTACCTTCCAAAGTGCTGCCCCCTAAAACTACTTGCATTAGTCAGTGCAAGTTCCTGTTCTGCTTAGTTCTCCAAACAGGGGAGTATTTATCTCCAGAACCTCCGAAAGTTTTCACATTGACTTCGTGTTTTAGATTTTAGAAGATGATTTTTCAGGCTAGTTTCACTGCCTCCCCCCTCGCTGCCATGCCATCCCCCCCACCCCCCAACCCAGGGCAAATTCTGCATGTGCGCCACCGGGGAGAGAGAAGGTCGGTCTGAGGCGCTTGCCCTTCATTTTCTCCTAGCATGTGAGAAGCACAGGCTGACATCCGTTCATTTATTCATCCCACAGGTATTCGTTGAGCACCTACTCATTAGAGCTAATCTCAAATTATGTGCAGTCATTCTTCTTAGTTACGCCGTGGGATGGAGCCGGCCCAGAGTGCTCTAACCTGAAAAGGCATTTTGAAATCTTAATTGCTCGCAGGAACCTCCCCTTGGCCCTGCCTAGCATGGGCCAGTGTGGCACTGCCCAGGTCTCACACCCTCCGCCCCAGGGAGGGAACCTAGTGTGAGACGATTTTACTTAAAAGTAGTCAGTCCACAGCCTGGACCGAAGCAGAACAGAAAGCGCCCTGGTCAGCGGGCCGGCGCACTTTTGTTCTTGGCTGCAGCTCCAACCAGCTCTGTGAATTTGGGCGAGTCATTTCACCTCTGTTCCTCCATTTCCTCATTTCTAAAATGGGGATGAGGACCTGACCCTTCCACCTTTGTACAGTTATTATGTGGATTTCCGTATTTACTTGAGTCAAGCTGCCAATTTTTCTCAGCAGTTTTATGGACCAGTTGCAGGTGCGTTGGCTAGGAAGAATAATGGCCTAATTTGGGGCCTTCAGAATGTCTTTTGATCTTGTGTCCAAGCATGCACTCCGAGAGAGGGTAGGCAGCAAGAGCCAGTTAGGAGGGGTGACGTCGCCGCTACTGTAAACACACTGTCCCCGAGTTCCACAGAATCTTCATGGAACTTGCCATCCCACTATAGCTCTTAGGGGTGTGATGTCGTCCTCGGCCCTGGGGGAGACAGTGGAGCGGGGTGCCAAGTCCACCAGCCTTGAAGTCAGACTGCTTTGAGTTCACATCCCAGCTCTATAGTTTAGCAGCTATGTGATCATGGACAGATTACTTTGCTTCTCTGTTATAACGTTCTCATCAGTAAAATGGGAAGGTAGTACCAACTTCATGGGCTTTAAATGGCGCCGTCCATGTAAAGAACAGTACCTACGGACTGGCCGTCATAAAGGTTGTAAGGACCGACAGGAATCTCCTGGCTTTCCTTGGTCAAGGGAAGTACCGGTAAAAAAAAAAAAGACTGTTGTGTTTTTTTGTGCTTTTGTTTTTGTTTTGTTTTATTCAGCACACACCCTCCCTCCCTCCCTCATGCAATCGCTTCTTCTTTTTCTCTGTCTGTCTCTCTTCTATTTTAGGCTATAAAACAGAGTAGAGACCTTTAGAAGATCTTTCTGGGTGGGTAATAAAAAATTCTTTGAGGATGATACTGGTAAGTTCTCTGGAGGACCCCTAACAGGCCAGGCGAAGGTTAGGAGCGACAGGGCCTTTTCTTAGAGAAGTTTTGTTTCCTTCAGGGTTACGTCCCTTTCACCCTCATTCATTATTTAAGGAAGATTTCAAGTGCATTCAAAGGGAAGGGGAAATGACTGTGGAACTCCTACCATGGTCTAAGTTCTCTTATATTGGCTCCTTCTGCCTGGCCCAAAAAATATCTTTTAGTGAACAAGCCTGATTTCCTTCAGGGAGTGGGGAGGGGGAATAACGTACTCCTGTTCCTTTGGTGCTCAGGTGCTAGGCTGAGGCAAACCTTTGGCAAGTGAAAAGGCCCTGCCTATCTAGGTACAGAGGCCGCTTCAGATCTACCAGGGCGCAATCAGCCGGTGCACGGAGTGGGGAGGGCCTTGAGCTGGTCTTTGAAGAATTAGGAGGATTTAGATAAGCCGGAAGGGGAGGGGGCATTCCAGGCTGGTTGCCCAGCATCAGGGCCAAAACTGAACAAAGGCACTGGGGGTGGGGGGCAGGGCACCCAGCGTGAAGGGCGCTTGTTGGAGCAGGGGGCAGCTGATTAGTAGCGGGGTGCCTGAAGCCACTCCCCAAGCCCTGGGGGTCCTGTTGGAGGGAGGAAGGTTTGTTGAGCTTAGGAAAGACTGGAAGGGAAGAGAGAGGGCTTTGCGAAGCATAGATGGCAAGGGGGTTGGGATGGATTGGAGGGGCCAAGGAACGGGGCGGGGAGACCAGAGGAGGAAAAACCCCAGCAACAGGGCCTTGAGGCACCGAGAGGGCCTGGCCTTGGGTGGCGATAGCCGAAATGGAAAGAAAAGTTGGTGAAGGAGGCTTAAAAGGTTTCCATGCTGAATGACCAGAAAAGAAGGCAAACGGGAGGTGGGGGCCAGCCTGGCAGGCAGCCTTTTTGAGGCAGGAGCAAAGAGGAGGATTTGGATTTGGGGCATGTTGAATTAATTCTCTTACATAGCAGTGGTTCAGATGCTTTTCTGTCTCTTTTTTGTTTACTTTTGAAGGGAGAGGGCAGTGTTAGCTCATGGTTCATATCCAAAGGGTCTGGGGTGCTGTGAGAGAAACTTTTCACGGAGAATCCTCAGGAGCCCAGTGAATTCACCACCCTGACGATTATTCTTTCTGGTTATTTTTAAGGCTCCAGCCATCACTGCTGTGGCCGGAGTTTCCAGGAACTGGCTGCTGACTGGAGCCAATTGGTCCCTCCCAGCCTCCCACTCCCTCCAGGGTGGAGCCCCATGGGTGGAGGCCCCTTAGGGTGGAGTGGGGTGGGTCTCCAGTGATAGGGCACCAGCCGCGAGGCAGCCTGGCCTCACACAGCCCTTCTGGATTTGATTATATAACACTCCACAGAAGAGAATTGCAAGGGGTTAGGCAGGCCTTGTAAGACGTGTACACAGCAGGATTAGGCATCATGGGGATTTTTCAATTGATCTTGGGTTGCTTGCCCTTAAAACTGAAATACAAAATTGCCAGCCCAAAGAAGGAAAACAAGTGTGTAACTTAGTAGGGAAAATGATTGGGTTTTGATAACATTTCTTTAAGAAAGGTATGGAATGCTACTAACCAGGTGGCTGTGAACTTGAGAGTTTACCTTCTGGGTATGGGTTGGGTTTCCCCACCCCTGCTTTTGCTGGGCCTCCTTCTGCAAAAGTGTAGGGATTTTGCTTGGTTGTTACCTTTGCACCTGTCCTTATTTACATGCAAAATCAATTGCTTCACTCGGTCTTTCCGAAGTACAGGGTGTGGGCAGAATCTTATCTGAAGCCATGTCCTGTTTGGACAAGTTGGACTTGCCTTGGCAACTCTCCATTGGGTGGAGCAGATGGGTGGAGGCAGGAAAGTAAAATTGGGTGGCTTGTTAGCTGAGAGAGGAGAGAGGGCGGATTGTTTGCTCACTGGATCATTATATTTAATCTGAAACTAAATAATTAACTTCTTTCCCATTTACAAAACATTTTGATACAAAATAACTAATTTATAAGGGGCAAAGACTTAGAAATACTCCGTGGACTTCCCCCCCCCCCCCTTTCAAAACAACTAGAGAAGACGGAGATAGGTGAAAACCCTCAAGTGATATGAAAACGGGACGCATTTCCAGGTAGGTGCCAGCATTTGGCTGTTCTGAAAAGAGCCTTCAACTTCAAAATGCCTGCTTCCATCTGTTGCCTGGCCCCCTTGCATTTCTGGCCAGAGCAACTGCCATTAAACATTCAGCTCCTCGGGAGCTTGAAGAGTTTGGGTACAGAAGTGAAGAAAGAAAAGTTTCTTTGGAAAGGAAGTTTAGCTACAGGGATGTTGCCTGCCTGCCCTGGTCCTCTTGCCGGCCAAGAATTACACACACACACACACTTTTTTTCTTTTTTCTCTTTTTCCCTGAAGTTCCTTTGGGGAGTAAAGAGTGGGGGGAGGTAACATGCTTCCTCCTTTATCGTCCAAACACTTGGGAAAGTTAAAAGCTGGGGGGCAGGGTAGGGGACACTTTGAGGTGGTGTGTTGGTTTGCTCTCACTGTTTTTCTCCTTACACCTGGCTGAGGTCAGCTAGGAAACAGATTTGCTTTGAGGGAGGCAGGTATTTTGGAGCCTTAAGGTCAGGTCAGGCTGGGTTGGGGAAGGAAATACAGATCTGGGAGAAAAAGCATAAGAAAGGAGATGAGAGGGGAGAAGGTCCGAAGCAAATCGTGCTGGGTCACCGAGACACTTTGCTTCACACACACATGCTCTTCACATTCACAGTCTCCCTCCCACCCCCCCGCCCCCCAAAGGAAGGGGCAGCCATTTATAAAGGTGTTTTTGTAATAAACATGCTCTAGCTTAAAAAACAAGTGACAATCAAAGGAGTGAATCCTAACCTCCTAACCCGGAGGGCCGCGTGTGCATCTGAGCTTGGCGGCACCTCTGCAGCCTCCGAAAAAACAGGGCTGAAGGGGCTGAAGAGGATGGTGACAGCTCTGTGACTTTTGAAACTTCATGAGCATGATTCACTCGCTGAAGCTCTTTAATCCATAATCATCCAGTTTTCCATTTTGGCAAAAATCTGACCCTCATTTCAACATCTGAAAAGTCAGAAGTATGAGTGGAGAGAGTGTGAAGGGAAATGTGTTTCTTCCTTTTGGAGGAAAATTCAGCTGTCATGGCCCCTCCCATCAAAATAACATAGTTGGGAAAGATGACATTTGCTCCAGTTACGGAAAATTATTTTGGCATTGATGTTTCTGTACTTCTTTCAAGCACCTTGATAACTTAGAGGTTTTTTAAAACCAGTTTTGCCCCCCACCCCTCTGCCCCTTTTGCTCTTTTAAATGCAGTTTTGTTATCTTGGAATTGCTTAGTTTCTAATATAGTTCTTCTAGGCTACATACAACCAAGATGTAAATGTGTTTATGATTGGAAAATAGTTGTAAGAAAAAGCAGAACCACATTTGGGGCCTCCTCATGTCTGTGATACCCACATAAAATGGTTAACAGAATTCCTGAGCCTGCTTAAAACCCACTGGGTTTAAAGACCCTGACGTTGGCAAACTCAGTTCTCTGCCAAGGCCCTTGTCTCTAAAACCTGTTTTAGCGCGCCACCTACCGGTTGTACTTAAGATTGCTGTCAGTGTTGTGTAACCTTTTCTACAGCATTTGTAGTTTTTAGCATTCTTTAAAAATGATGGTAACATCCCCAGAGGACCGAGTTGCTGGTGGAGAACTGAAGCCACTAACTTTAAGAGACACTATTTCTTCCCGGGCTTCAGTTACTTCACGGGTATGTGGAAGGCACTGTGGAGACATTGCAGTCACTCTTTTCGGACCCAAAGACAGTGGATACCAGTGGCAAGTGTGGTCTATTCAGAAATAAGCATAGTAGGTACAGAGTATACAAGTTTCCTTTTCTAAATAAGTAAACAAAATCCTGATTTGTGATAATATGTTGATTCTCTTCTCAAATTTGGTTCCTTTCTACCTTAGCTTCCTCATGTTTTTATTGAAAGTTTTAGTTGTAGAATTCACTTAAAAATTGGCACAGAGATGTGTGTAAAACTGCCATGTTCCCCTCCCACCCCAAGATGCTCTTGTTAACAGATGCGGGTACATCATTTTCTTTGCATGTCCTTTATTTTGTTGCATGTCCTGTGACTATCACTAAAAGTATAACCAGTCATTCTAGAAGTCACCACATTGGGAACAGCATGCTGTTAGACATGTAAATTTGATTCTGTTCCTAGCAATACCTGAATTTTGCAGACTTCTTTATTTATTGTCTGATTTCCTTACATTCAGATAACACATAAAAACTAAAGAATGGAAGTAACTTAAGTTCATGAAGTGATACAAGAAATAACAGCTTAATGTGTAATTCATTTCTAAATGAATTCAGTGGTCTTTAGGAAAATTCATTGAAGGCTTTATGAGCTAAATGGTGGCATTAGCATTTGAACCAAAATGAACTCCAGAGCCCATTGTCTTATTTCCACTGTGCTGCTCTTCCCGGTGGTAAACTGCAAGGGGGGAAGCGTGGAGACGCGAGGAGGCTATCCTGGTGGTACAGCCCCGAGAGGAGATCTGATAGCGGACAGAGATAGCTGTTAACTTTTACACTTCCTTTTATCTGAGGGGTTTTTGGCTTTTCAAGGGTGAAGGTAAGGCTGGGTGTGTTAGCAAAGAGGCAAATACCTGATACTCCTCCAGAAGTTGGAACCAACCAGTTTAGTGCTGTGTATATGGGGTGTATATCCCAAAATTTTATCCGAATCTGTTAGTATAGACTATTTAAAGGGCAAAAGAGCTTTTTGTGTTTTGTGTTTTTTAATTCTAATTTTATCTTTCTAAAACACTGTGACTCAGGACTTTCGGAAGTAGATAAAAGAGGCGAGGCGTCATCTCATTCTGCATGTGAAAAGAGTTGCCTCCTGGCTGGGCTAGAATGCAGTTCTTGAGCCTCCAGAGCTGGGTTCTTAAACAACTGAGAATATGAGTGCTTTTTATTTAGAAGGATTTGCATCAAGATACTGCAGTGGAGTAGGCGGATCTGTAAGAGTTAATTCAATTTCAAAGGCTTGGGGGAGGGGTGGCCAGCAGTGAGTCAGGGCTGCTGAATTCTCTGACCTCATTGATACAAGCACATCTCACATCTTTTGTTTAAGGTCCACTCTAGGGCACTGGACAGCAATATTTAGAACCGTATCCATCTGTACGACTGCTGGGCTGGGAACTGGTTAATAGATCTCAAGGCACAAAAGAGGTTTTCATCCTTCATAATGAAATCATCCATTTTTCACTGATTGTTGGCGTTTCTGCTTGCTGGAATACATAAGAGGGTGGTAGCACCATTGATTCAAGCACACTGGTATCAGATTGTGTTCACAGATTATATATAATACATCCTGTGATGAGAGAAAATAGAATTTTGAAGTCAGGGCCTTATGCTAGTTAATAATGATATTCACGTGTTGTCATGAGACCCAGAACAGGCTTTCTTCAGCGAAGCAATCAAGCACAAGAACTGCATGGAATACTTTATCATTGTATGTGAAGATACTTAGTATAGATACTTAGTATAGATACATTGTATGTGAAGATACTTAGTATTGTGTCCATAGAGCTCGACACAACAAACCACAGGGTTACTTTCACGGAGGTGGGATGGGGAAGGGGAGTTTTCATACTGAAATACAGGAAGTAGTCTACAACCAGGGACTTGTACAGCTTTTTCAGGTACAGCTCAATCTAGAACTTGTTTACTTTTCCACCCAAACCTAAATGTAAAGGTGTAAAGAACCTCACCTGTAACCAAAGCACTTACGTCAAATTTGGACAGGAAGTGCCTGGTGCAGCTTGTTGAATACCTGAGTCAGGTAGCTACCTGGGCAGGGGTGCCATCATATCTGAAATGCAGCTGAATATGGGGCAGGCTGAATGTTTCGCCCTGTGAGGAAGCAGTGGGCTTTATGTGCACTAGTGCTGGAAGTGGCCTCATATAGAACAAAGAAGAAAACACATGGGTAACATGAGCAGAACAATAGAAGCAGAGACAAGAAAGATCAAACAAGATCAGGATTCATCCAGCTAAAAGATGGGCTGATTTCCTAATGAGAAATTTGAAAGAATGGGAGTGAATACAAGCTGATGCTCTTCAGATATAAAAAGTACTTAGAAAACAATAAGAAATGTGGTGGGGGGAAGCTGAAGGCTTGAATAGGCATTTCTTAAAAGAAGAAATGTAAATGGTAAATAGAAAATTTTATTCGGTAATTAAGTTAATTTAGAATAAAAACAATTTGCCACTTTGCTACGTATTGGCAAAGTCGTTTTTATTTTAGTGATAATACACATTGCTGGTGGAAATTTTGGAAAACAGGTTCTACTTTATTGATGGGAATAATATTTATTTAAAACAAAGATATTAATGATGATTGATTCTAGGTTTTCTTTTTGCTTATCTTCCCTTTTTCCTCATTTTTCTGTGAGGAAAAGTGTTTAACATTCATCTATAATGTGAACCTCTGTTGAGTCGCACTCCAGTCTTTAGGAAGCTTTGCTACCTGGAAGGAGCTGCACATGTTGTTCCGGAGTTGTCAGGGTTTGTGCATTTGAGTTAGGAATGCCAGTTGGCTCTCATCTGGTTATGACTATGGAGTCTGGTTTTAATTATACAAAACGGCATCTTTCCTAGGTAAGGGAAACAAATTCCAGCCATTCCGGGGGCGGGGGAGAGAGGAAGGAGTCAGAAAAAGGGGTGAGGAGTAATACTCTATCTTATGTGTACTAGGTTATATTTACGGTAACCTTGGGATTTAGATGCACACCCTGTTTTGTTTTCTAGGCCAAACACCAGAGCACCCTAGGAAGTTTAACTAAAAGAATGCTCATGTTTGACCCCGTCCCTGTCAAGCAAGAGGCCATGGACCCTGTCTCGGTGGTAAGTTTTCCAGAATTGAACATTCTCTTATTTATTCCAAGTGGTGATGATATTATCATCGTTGTGTTATTCCTTAAACTTACTCATTACTTAACAGGCATTGGACATACAGCTTTTTCAAAGTCCCCGATAGTCAGGGAGGTTAATACCTTACTAGAACTGTGCCCTTTAATAAATGGGACCCATATTTCATTAAGGCCTGTGCCCCACACGCCTCGTCATGCAACCAGCACAGAACTTGGGCCACAGGCACATCTTGTCACTACAGAAGTAGATTATTATAAAACGCCTCACTGACCAGTTTTTTAGTTTGAGCTCTCAGAATTATTGCTGTTGGCCCCTCCCCCCCCCAAAAAAAGGTTTGGCTAGACTGATTTTTTAAAAAATTAATGTGCATCCAGGGTCTTTTTAAAAACAAAACAAAACAAAACAAAAAACCTGTGCACAGTGTGTATCATGGTTAGGGAGCAATTTCTGGATGTACCTACAAGAAAGTCTGTATCAAGAACATGATGGCTTAGGGTTTTTTTTTTTTAAACTCAAGATCACTGCCCTGATTATCTAGAATAGTTTCGTGAATAAAGTAAATACAGTAGGAATAAATTGATACACTTTAAAAAAAAAAGACAATAGCTCTACGGAGCTCTGGCTGCTGGGAGATGACTGAGGAGAAGCCGGTGAGAGAGAGAGACTTGGGGGCGAGGAAGAATTTCATTTCACTTGGAAGAGTCTGGGTGCGTGGGAATTGTGTTCACAGTCTTTTCAACACCTAGGGCTAAGCCGGTCCCTCTGTGAGCCAGGCCCCTCTAAATGCTTTTGGCCACCAGGAGACAAGTAATTATTCCAGGTGTTTATATAGGTACAACACTCGTGCGATGGAGATGGGACAGGGTGACAACAGAAGGGCATGGCCCACTTCAAGCAGGGAATGGCTTCAACTTGAGGGGATCTGGTTTAGTGACTGAACTAACAAGGAGGCACTCACTCCATCTTGCTCTTTTCTTCCACGGGCTTGGAAAATATTCACAAGGGGAAAAACTTGGCTTGACTTGTACATGAGAAGGTTGGTAATGACACGCTTGCAAAATTAGATCATCCTCGTGCATTGGCTGTGTAGGTTCCTGCCAAAAACATTTATACAAGACATGGGGGTCACTCTGAGGCCCTTGGAACCAAGTTGCCATGGATATGGCTAAGCCAGTGAAGTGTTTATCGCAGTGTGCGATGAAAAGTTGTCAGAGTAGCTGTAAGGAAAAAACATTTACATTCCAGCATAATAACTGGGTAAGCGAGTATCTAAATAGGGTAACTGAGCAATAAGAATTTTATTAATCACAAAAGTGAATTGACTTCTGATGTTAGTGCTGTCATCGGATTTATCAACCCCTTTCCCCCAACTATTGCATGATCATGATGGAGGAAAATTGAGGTATAAAATTTCTCCATTAATTATATCCTTGAACTATGAATAGGTTTTTAGTATTGGAGATTATGATTAGTTCTAGAAATGATGCAGAACCATCAATGATGCATTTTACTATTCAATGTACTTCCAGTGCTTTTAATCAAGCCTGAAAATAGGAAGGCTCAAGAGCCTAATTTAAAGCTAAAAATGGAGATCCACGTGGCTAAGTTAGAATGCAAGGAAATGCACTTAACTAAAAAGAAGGAAATGAATTGCATTTGAAGTAACAGTTATGCTTGTAATGCTGAAACTTACATGAATACATAAACTTAGAATAGAAGTACTCTTGCAATTAATAGTCTTTTTCTCCTTCATGCTTGAATTTCAACCTCAGCTAATGCTTACAGAAATTTATTAGATTGTTTCACCAAAATTAGTGTCAGACCTTAATAAAGTTTCTTTTTAATTCAGTGAAATCTCAGTTAACTAAAAAGTTTGGAGAGTAGAGGGTGATTATTTTCTTAACAAAATTAAATAAGCTTTTGTTTTACTTTTAAATCTTCAAATTTCATTTTTCCTGCCTTCCTTGGTGGAGTATATTATAAACCTATTGCCATTTCTTGTTTTTCTATTTTTTTTCTTTTTAATTCCATCTTTGATCTGAAGGTTGACATCTTAGACTAATCAAGTCAGAGTTCTAAACATTAAGTCAGTGTAGGATAATTTGTAAGAGGATTTTGTTTTAATTCCACATACAAATAAAAATATCTTACAGTGACTTATCCTCCCTCCCCACTCCCTTTTTTTCTTAAAGCGAGAGCACAGCAGAAGCAATGTGCCTGTTTGGTATCTTGCTGTAATTTAGAGAAAGTGAGGAAAAGTCATTTCTTACCCAAATAGGAGCCTTCACACCTTCCTGTGCTTTGAGGCAAATGGTAAGGCTTTATGTTGTCTTGTTAAAATTTGCAAGGAGAGGGAGCAGAGCACACCCCGCCTGCTCTGGCCTGCTCCTGGGTCTCCGCTCCCCATCCGCAGGGCACTGTCAGCAAAACCACCCGCCCGCAGCTCCCTGAGCCTGCCTTCTTATTTTTATTTTTTGAATTTGTAAAATTGGAGATTTAGTTGCAAAACCATGGCTAGCGTGTGATTATAAAATGTACCTGTAAAGGAATTGCTTTACCCATCCATTTTCAAAGATGGTTGAAAATTGATGTAATTGAGGAAGTGAGAAAGAAAACAAACTTTTAAAAAGTACCCTTTCTTATTCTATTTCTTTTTCTTTAAAGTTTTTTAAAGATTTTGTTGAATTATTTTTAGAGAGGTGGGAAGGGAGGGAGAAAGAGGGAGAGAAGCATCAGTGCATGAGAGATACGTTGACTGTTTGTCACATGCCCCCAACCAGGGACCTAGCCTGCAACCCAGGCATGTAGCGTGCGCTGAGAATCGAGCTGGCGGCCCTTGGATCCGCAGGCTGGCCAGTGCTCAGTCCACTGAGCCACACCAGCCAGGGCCGTATTCTATTTCTATAAGATTACTTTTGAAGGAAGTGCGTTCCTTTTTTTTTTTTTTTTATCTTTCTTTTTTTAAAATGAAAATTGTTATTTAACAGACTTCTTACAGACTGAGAAGTGCTTAATCAACAGTTCCTCTGCTCTGTTCCAGTAGAAACTTTTCATGGCTCTTCTGAGCCCGGTAGAAAGAGAGCTTTCTACTTGTGTTTGCATAGAGGGACACGACATTTGCTGTTTCCAGAGTGTTTGTTTATAAATGCACCACGCCTTCCTGCTGGGGAACCCCGCCCTGGGTGAAGATTCCTTTGACTGGCCATCGCCCTGTCGCGGATATTCACTTTTTTTTCATATTAATGAAGAATGAAATAGAGGCTTCATCCACATAAATTGTCTTGTAATGGAAAACTCACCAAAAGTATTCCCAATAAAATGAGAAACTACGGAAATTCTCACTTGAATATAAAATGATAGCTTTGGAAAATTATCCAAACCAAAAAATTCTTTTTCAGAAAGTAAACCCAGTGCCACCCTCAGTGGGGGAGGGGGCTTGCTTGAGCCCTGTCTGCAGGCGGCGCTGCTGCGGGCCACAGAGCCTCCTCGGGTAACAGGAAGCAGGGGGAGGGCATCATTGGATGTCCCTCCGTGGCCAGAGGTGCTTTTTGGCTTTATGGACACTTGCTTCTGGTGTGGATTGGGGGCCAGCGTGGCCTCGCTCATTTGCATTGCTTAGTTAGAAGGTAGGAATGGCATGGAGCAGAAAGGAAGCAGCTCTTTAGCAGGGTGTCCCCGCCCTGGGCACACACCCCGAGCAAGCCCTGTATCAGTCCTGACACTGTGGGGAACCAGATTATTGCAGGCTGATTGCACTAGCTTGTGTGCCCCACCCAGAAAATTAAACGTGTCTTATAGAAGGTTCTGATAAACATTATTAGGAAATTTGCTAGTGAGACAGTTTGCAGAGCCCCATTTTTCACCCTTTCGTGAGGCAGTCAGACTGGAGATAGTTAATGGTGTCCTCAGCGTTGTGCCCACCTGTGTCTCCTTCCCTTTGAGCTGTGCAGCCTTAGAAAGGCCACACGTCAGTACAGGGCCAGTGGTCATTCACGGCAGCAAACTCGCAGCAAAACTGCATCATGTTAAAGAACTGGGCACTCTATGTGGCTGTCTCTTCATGGCTTGAGAAACTTGGGAATATGATTCCATTTGCAATTCGCCCAGGTTCTAAGTTCCTACGTTCCTTAAACTCACCCATGGACAGAAAAATCCAGCAATGACAGCAATAACTGTGTGTCCTCATTTTGCTTCCTATTGAGCTGCCAATAACTTGCTGGTAAAATCTAGGTCATAGGGAGCTCTTTGAAGAACAGGGCTGAAAATAAGGGAGAACTACATTTTGGTGGGTAGAGACAGCTAACGCTGCCTCCCAGTTCCTGAAGGTTTTGTTTCTAGTACCAGAACTTTTTGCACATTAGAGAATTGTAGGTAAAGTGGGTTAAACTTTAGAACGAGGGGAAATTTTTTCCCCTGTGTTTAATTATTTCCTTAAACCCTCATTGTACATAATTTGTCATTTTTCTTTTTGGTTAGTGAGCCTTATGCCTCTTTCAATGTTTAAATATACTTAGTATCACTGCGTGGGGGGGGCCCTCCCACCTTGTGGCGCGCCTGTGTGTGCCTGGCTCTAAAGAAAGTTAGAGATAGTCTTTCCTTCGTTTGGTTCTCCATACATAACTGGAAGCTGTTTCTAAAAACAATAATTTATATATTTTGTATTTCCTGATTTGATATCCTTCATGTCCTTGTTTTTAAACAGTATTGTTAGTGAAATTCTTCCCTCTCCCCTTTAAATTGTATTTGAGTGATTTACCAGATTTTAAGCCTAAAAATTCGTGTTTTTATTCTATATCCCTATCACTGAGAGCCACTCTGTTCAAAAGGCGGCCTGTGTCCGTTGGGCCACTCCCCAGCCATTCAGAGCCTACCGTTTAACGAGATCCCCAGGTGAATTCGTTTGCACAGTAATGTCTGCGAAGCTCTGATCGGGAGGATCAGAGCCCGTCCAGGGCACACCTTCTGTGTGAGAAAAGAGAGAATCCCAGGACTGCAGTGTGTGTTAAGCTCATTACAAAGGTTACCTCACTGAATCCCATTTTAAGTTTAACCTCACAACCTTCTAGGAGGAATTTTGCCATATCCTAATGGGACCTGGACTTCTAGTATTTAGTAATTTTCCTTGCCCCTTTTTGTAGAATTGCTTTTGTTAACCTAATAAATTTATTTTAACGAGAAGCATTACATCACTACTACTTCATACGCATGTAAATAAACACCTAACTAATCTAAAGCACTGTGTGTTCACCGTGCACCATCTGGAAGTATCTTCAGCACCCCCAGAGAGAGATGCAGCAGCCTGTAGGCCTCACTGTTCTAGGAGGCCATGCAGATCGTGATGATACGGATAAAGAAGGAAAGGACCGAAGAACAAAATACCTCGTCTTAATGATGAGAAACTGACCGCAAAACCAGATGGAGATAAATACGGCCTGGCCCCTGTTCTCCAATTCTCCGATGCCCAGTAGGCCTGGAGTGGAGACCAGGCATCTGAATTTTAGAAACGTCACACGCGATTCTGGTGCATAGCCAGGTGGAGAGTCGCCCAGCAAAGCCCAGAGAGGCAAGGGCGTGTTCTCAGTCGCAACCCTAGTCAAAACCACTGCTGCCCCACAGTTCTTCATAACTCACAATAGCAGCCACTGGAGGATCCAGGGAGGCTCAGAAGTCAGCCGCGCATTTAAGCCATTTAATTATAAGGCCCCATTGGTGGGTTTTCTCAGTTGCACCATGAGCTAGTGTTGCCTCAGATTCATAAACACATAGGATTTAAGTGCTGGAAGAGAAACATGGCCTGTTGCTTACCGCTTTCACTCTAAAACGTTCAAATACGAGTAGTTTCCTGCAGGAGGACTTAACATGTTATCACTAAAATTTTTCCTAAAATTCCTGCATGTAAAGAAAATGGTTTAGGTTTAATTTCTAAGAAAGCATTCTACAAGAAAGAATTTTTTAATTTCAGTTAAGGACTAAAGTAATTTTAGTGAATTCTACGGCCAAAGGCATTAACGAGAGTATGAAATTATTATGATTGATTTATACTTAATAGATGAGAGTTAAGATATCCTTATTAGAAGAGAGAGGGGAATGTGAAGATAATCTTATATTTGGGAGGAAACAAATCCTTTTGTTAATCTCTTCCAGTATTTTGTTAGCTTATTTTCCAGCTTCTTTTGATGGTTTCTTTTTGAGGGGTGGGGGCTGGCAAGATACAGAGAAGAAAACACTGGACCTCAAATTGTGTGCGAGTCATTTTGAGCATCAGGTGGCCTGGATTGAACTACAACGTGTTAGCTGTTTCTTAACGGTTCTGTGTCGTCCACAAATTTGGAAACCAAGCCACCTTCTACACCAACATTCAAGTTGCCAATAAGACCATAGGCAGGCAGGGTGGCCTACCATCCTGGTTTGCCTGAGACTGAGGCATTTGCTGGGTTGTAGGACTTCAGTGCTAAAGCCAAGACAGACCTGGGCAGACGAGGACTGCTGGGTGTCCTAGGCATGGATTCATCAGCAGCCCGGCCCGCCCAGAGGTACTGCCCTGCAGCTTCGTTTCTTCGTATTAAACAAAATACATCTTGAGAAATATCCAGTGCCCTGCCACAGAGGGAAAGCACTAAACCCAGGGAGAGAGTTTCCTGCCAATTAAGAAGCCCCTTCACAAAAGCAACGAGGTCACCTGGCTTGGCTGGTTCTTGGTGAACCCCAGCACTGACTCCTAATGATAAAACCCCGTAAGGTGTCTGTTGTATAACCTATTTTAGAATTTTGCCAAGTGTCAGCCTCAGCCTTAACATTTCACTTGGATATCATCTTAGAATTAAACTGGAGATTTTTCACGTGACACAGTTACCACATTAACCTTAGTTCTTAATGTTTATTAGACCAGCCCTCTCACAGCATTATTTTAGGGTCAGGCATGTATCTGAATCCAAACCACTTATTACAGTCCATGTAACCAAAAGTGCCTTGTCATACGTTTTCATCGTAATTCATGTTAGAAGCAAAAGCACTTATTTGATTGTTTCCACATTTCTGTTTTTCCTTTCCAATAGTCATACCCATCTAATTACATGGAGTCCATAAAGTCCAGCAAGTACGGAGTCATCTACTCCCCGCCATTATCCGATAAGTTCTTCCAGACCTCGGAAGTCCTGTCCCACGGGATGCAGATGGAGCCGGTGGACCTCACCGTGAACAAGCGCAGCTCTCCGCCCTCGGCTGGGAGTTCTCCTTCCTCGCTGAAGTTCCAGTCCTCGCACCGGAGAGCCTCCCCCGGACTGAGCATGCCGTCGTCCAGCCCGCCAATGAAGAAGTACTCACCGCCGCCCCCGGGGGTGCAGCCCTTCAGCATGCCGCTGTCCATGCCGCCGGTGATGGCCGCCGCCCTGTCCCGGCACGGCATCCGGAGCCCGGGGATACTGCCGGTCATACAGCCCGTCGTGGTGCAGCCCGTCCCCTTCATGTACACAAGCCACCTCCAGCAGCCGCTCATGGTGTCCTTGTCCGATGAGATGGAAAATTCAAATAGTAGCATGCAAGGTAAGGCCCAGCCCTGAGCCAGTCCACCCGGCCGCTCCCGCTCAGTGCAGCCAGTGTCTTCACCAGACAGCCTGGCGGGAGAGCAAAGGAAGCAGAGCTCTTCAAAGGAGTATTCCACATAGAGTCTGCCTAAGGCATTTCCTTTTGGGGTTTTTTTCCCCTTAAAGTGTTGATACTGGAAGAGCTCCCAAGAATCAGGCTGTCTGTTTAAAGCTGTGAAATGATTACTATTACTATATAATTGTCAACTTTGGGATAGTAAAAATTTGACTTCATATTTTGCTTCATGGAATGCCAGCATGGTTCTCGGTGCAAAGAGGCATTTGATAAATAACCTTTATATCATGGTGAACACTGATGGTTATTAAAAGAACCTTGTTTATTGACTGGTTGTGGGCAGAAGACTGGGGTTAAAAGGAGATAGCCAAAAAATCATAGGAAGGACATCTGGGGGCTGATGTCTTAAAAGTCCAGTTGCTTACCAGCAAAATAATGGTCCAGAGAAACAAGAATCCCTCCACAGATTCGTTGCTGCTATAAATTTTGCCAAAGGCAGATAGTCACATTTTGTAGATAGTGTTATAGATAGGAACTGTGCAATAAGATTTTAACAGCTGAATTGGTAATTTGTACATAGTAAGACTTTTCTCTATTTTTATTTTTTAGTACCTGTAATTGAATCATATGAGAAGCCTATATTACAGAAAAAAATTAAAGTAGAACCTGGGATTGAACCACAGAGGACAGATTATTATCCTGAAGAAATGTCACCCCCTTTAATGAACTCAGTGTCCCCCCCGCAAGCCTTGTTGCAAGAGTAAGTATATTCAAGTCTCCCCATCATTTGCGTAGCGCCATGCACCTTGGGACCTGGAATGGAAGCACAGGCTTCCAGTGCATGGCGCTTGGATTGCCAGGACCTCCTCATAGCATGTGGCAGCCACGGAGCAAGATGAGAGAATCTCTCCAAAATCAGTGCTCTGTTACACCGACAGCATCGTGACAGTGACCTCAAGTTACCATGATTTTACCACCTTACAACATGTATCGTTTTTTTCCCACTCTTCAGACTCTGCCTGCACAGTTTTTCCATCGTCTTAAAGTTTATTGGTGGTTACACTGGTCTTGGATGCCAGCTCTCCGCTCTACCATGTGTATGACCTTGGGCTAATCATTTAATCTTGCTGCCCCTGTTGCCTCTTTATTTTCATTATTGGTTGCAATCATTTTTCTTGCTCTAATTGTCTTATGTTGTGGTGTTTGCAACATTGGATTCCGTGGCCAGCTTCCTAGTACCAAGGCAACTATTACAGTCTCCTCAGGGTCCCTTCCATCATCTGCTACCTGTGTCAGTTTTTCTGCAACTTAAACAACCGTTCTGCCCACATTTTTATTTTATTATCTCTATCCCTCTCCCTTAAACAATTAATTCTGCAACAGAATGCAAATTCTCTGGTTTTAGAACAGCTGTTTTCTGGAAACTCCAAATATTCTAGTTGAATCCACATTTGACCCAAGTAGGCGCCTTCACAGTAGCTCGTGTGTTAATTGCCCGTTGCACCAAACCATTGTCAGTTTCTGTTGCTCTTATCATATACCGCCAATAGCTGGAGAACGACTTCTCTTAGCCAGCCACATCAGCAGTAGAGTGACCGATACAGGCTTGCCCGTTAATGCTCCTCACAATTGCATAGCATCCCCTTTACCCCCAAAAGAAACTTTTCCAAGTGTTTTTTGAAAGGACTGACTTTATTTTCTGATAACAAGCCTGTGGGAGACAAAGCAAATAGAGAACTGAGGAGTCAAGACATAGGTAACCCGCCTATAATCACACCGCTAACAGCAGAGGGGGCCTCGGCTCGGTCTCCTGCTTCCAGACGAGGGCCGCATTTAACCCGTACCCAGCCTACTTCGTCTGCTCCTGCGCTCTGCTGAAAGGGAAAACAGAGACCAGCCAAAATGGTCACACATGTAGGCTGCATAGCGCTACCTCTTTTGCTTATGATGGTGTGTGGGTGTCTCTGGCAAGGTAACTGACAACATGACTTGGACTTGTAATTGTCCCTGCACAGATGATGGGAAAAATGCTGTAAAGCCAACTGCCCACATAGGGAGAGACCCGTTGACTGAAAGGGGTTATTATGATATAAAACATTGTGGAAGAATATTTGAAGGCAACATGCTATGCTCTGAATGCTGGTGAAGAGAAAATACTTTTTTCTTTCTTATTTTGAGTAATGTTCTTTTGATGATCTCAAGCTGGATGGCTTTTAATGATTAATGAGCAATATGCTTAGTCTAATGCTGTGACCTAAGAATGCATTTTCCGTCTCAAAAAATTGGACAGATTAAGCCACAACAGGGACATGTACTCCTCAAGTAATTTTCTCACAGATGCGATTAAGTAATGTCTTGGAGCACGCCCAGGAGCAGCCCACATAGGGAGCCAGCTAGCCAGGAAGGACTCACTGAAACCAGGCACCTAGTAGCATTGTGATGGGGCAGCCCCGGCATTTGCCTTAGGAAACTCTTCCTTTAGACATAGACTTTCCAATGCAGCTTTGAAATCCATTTGCTCGATCACAGAGCTACTGCTCTAGAATGATTTGTAAAGGCACTCACATAAATGTATGCCCAGTTCCTTTTGCCATGTATTTGCATGTGTGAAAATATAACAGAAAGCTCAAGGACCATATTTCCCCATTTACCTGTCTGTATGAATGGTAGCAAACTTGAGAGAGAGGTCAGCCTAACTCAGGACAATGACCTAGGTCTCTGATGTTTAAAAGCTGTTCTGATTTCGTGGCTGTAGTGATCCCAGACAACCTCCTTAAAAATGAGCAGTGAGGAGACCAAGAAGGGTGGGATCCCAAGTTCCTGGTTTTTAGCCGCCACGGCCTGTGCTAACATCTGGCTCTTTAGAGATGGGGCTGCTCACCACCCTCAGAATGAGACTGCCTTTCAAGGTAGATGTTAGCTGGTATAAGAGATTTCCTGATACGGGGTTGGGACATTCCCCAAAACACTCCTCATGAAATTAAACAATGTAGGGGCAAAGTTTGCAAAGAAGAGTTCAGAACCTCAAATTACGAACAGCTACCATTGAGTAGATTTACATCTGGAACAGAAAATTGTTCTTAAATGCTTTGTGTAAGTTACAGCCACCTTTGGAGATCATATCTTTTGCACAGAGGATAAGGACCTTGCTTGGGGTCACAGGGACTATCAACAACAGAGCTGGGATTTAAAGGTAGATAGAGCACATACCTTTATATGCAAAATAAGCGACTGGAAAAAGGCATCTTTAACTACTGCACAGAAACTATCAGGTTGATTCCCAATCCGGAAAATCCAATAATCGGGAGATACTTCTAAAGACATCTAGAATACTCTCAGTATTTCAGAGCATATGAGATATGTTTAATCCTTTTTTTCCTCAGTGTTTTATTTCCTGAAGTTCTCTTAATGAAGATAAAACATTTTTCAATCAGTGGCACTAAAGTTGAAAGTTAAATAAACTGATAACTTTTTTTAATTGAAGAATTTTAAATTGACAGTTTAGCTTTATAAAAAACTGTATCTGTCCATAAACCTCTCACATCTCTATTTTCTTTGCTATTTGTTTGTACGTTTATAAAATTTAAGTTCTTGTCTTTCTTCCACTTCACTAGTTTATGTTCACTTTCCATGTATCAAAACTTGGCTATTTTTCTGTATCGCTTCTCTAAGCATCAGGGTAGGAAGGTAAAGTGATATTCAAAACTGACAGTTTTCTTTGCTAATAAAAGTGAAATAAGGTCATTTAAACACACCTCTTATTCTCTTTTTTAGTCACTTCCAAGCATGCCTAAAAATGTACTGATAGAGGATATGTATTTAAATTTTTACCAAGATTAAAAAAACAAGTTTTATTTCAGGGACTCCCTTTTGATCTGTATGATTAAATTTTATTACCCTTTTTTATCCCACAAGTTTGCCCTCATTTAAGTCCTTTTTTCTTCTCACCAGTCTTTTTTCACCCAGTTACACATTTGTTTAAAAACTTAATATCTTATTTGGAACATCTTAAGAACTTTAGGTTCGATTTTTTTTTTTTTAAAGTCTTTTGTTACTGTTGGAGGCCAACTACATAAGCTCATAATGTATCAAGTAATTAGTCATTAGGAGAGCAAATGAATGGATTAGAATTAATGAATGGATGGGAAATATTAATTACTTAACATTAATCAGGAGAGGAAGTCTGAGGAAACTACAGACCTTTCCCAGCTCTTCCCCACTTGCCTTTCCTCTCCACCTGCCTGTCTGAAAAAGAGAAAGCCCCTAGGACTGAGCTTTAACCCGGCTGGATTTGTGCAGGTGCAGGCTGGTGAGTCTGGGTGAGAACCATCAGAAAGGATGTCGGGGTGCCCACGGGAGCTACTGTGCCAGTGTCCAGGGCACAGCGTCCTCTGCCTCGCCTGACCGCGGGCCCGCCCGGCCAGCCTCCCGCCCACGGGAAGGATAGTGACAGGAGAGGTTTGCATTGTGAAAGGAGCAGTGCCGGCTTGTTTGGTTGGTCGGTTGGTTTTTGGAAGGGCCGGCATTTGCAAATCAAATGTGAATTGTCCATTTTTTTTAAAGACAAAGACTCGTACTAAATTCCGATTATGGAAAGGATAAAATGTAGATACGTCCTACAGTGCGTTTGCCTGGAACGAAGGAATTTGACCTTTCCCTAAGGGACAATAAATGAAACTAAGGACGGCCAGTGAAACATAGGGGAATGTCCAGCATTAACTAGTGCCACAAAATTCTATCTGTAGGCAAATTTTTATCAGGCAAAGAGACTGCTAGCACTTGGCGCCTCCCTGCAGCGTAGCACCTAACCCTTCTTACTGTCATTACTTATCTACATGTCTGTCTCCCCCTAGAGTGTGAGCTCCTCGAGGGCAGGAACCCTGTTTTTATTCATCTTTGTGTCCCGGTGCCAAGCACAGTGCCTGGCTTATGGTAGGTGCTCACTCAATGTTTGTTGAATGAATATAGCAGTGCTTCTTGGGTTGATCAGCTAATTTCTTTGTGTTTATTTTGTTGGGTTTTTTTGTTTGTTTGTTTTTACCCGACGTTGTTAATGCTTTTGGTAGACTGAAGAAAAGGAAGAGCCTTGCTTTCACTGAACATTTTGCATTTAACCTTGGCTTTCACAGGAATCACCCTTCAGTCATAGTGCAGCCTGGGAAGAGACCTATACCTGTGGAATCTCCAGACACCCAAAGGAAGCGGAGGATACACAGATGTGACTATGACGGATGCAACAAAGTGTACACTAAAAGCTCTCACTTGAAAGCACACAGAAGAACACATACAGGTATCCGAAACAGAAGACTCGCTTTCTTAAGAAGAATTAGAATAAAATGTTAAGCCTTTGAAACATTCTAACTTTCAGAGGTTATTATAATGAAATTATTTTAGGCAGGTATCTGAAAGTGACCATAATCATTTACAGATGTCTCAGTCATGAAAAATGAGTTTTTGGTAATGACTGACTTTTGTAATAAGTAGAATAGATTCAAGGTTATTTCTGTAGCAAGTTCACTCACTTGTTCTGTACTCTGCAGTGAAGGTCAGAGAAAGGGACAACGGAGGATCCACTGGAACAGAGGGAAAGGTGCTCTTAACCGTGGGCCTCTTTTATCAGGATGTGGTCTTCATGTGGACTCTCATTTAGTATATGTACAAGGTCTGTCCAGAAAGTATCCATCCGTATACTAAAGAGAGACATTTATTGAAGAAGATACAAGAAACATTGCACATAGGACAGTGATGCCTCGGTCCCCTGCAGAGTAGCACCTTGGGACTTCACACAGTTCTCCCACTTGGCCATCAGCTGCCCTGTTGTATTTTCCTGAATCTCATCAATAGTCTGAAATCTTTCCCTTTCAAAGGTGATTTTACTATTGGGAAAAGCCAGAAGTTGCGGAGCACCAAACCAGGGCTATAGGGGGGCTGAATCACTTGAATCACCTGAATCACCTGGATGATTTGGTGTTTTGCCAAAAAAAAAAAAAAAAAAAAACCCACGAGATGTGATGCATGAGTGGGTGTGTTATTATGACAAAGCTGCCAGTCACCAGTTGCCCATAGCTGTGGCCTTCTGAATCATCCAATCTCCACAGAGGAATGTTTAATGCAAAATTTGATGCAGGGTCATTGTTCTACTCAGTCATTTTGAATGTGATGGCCATCCAATACACCTGCTCACTCAAAGGTGTCTATCACCCCCACTGACTAGTACAGTGAAGCCATTGCTCAAGCAAGCACATTCCAGTCCTCTCCTTGGCTGCCAGGTTATGTCGATGTTGCGCACACCATTCTCATGAAATAACCATGGCTGGACTTTTTCTGGACAGACCTCATACATTATTAAATTCACAATAGCAAAAATCAGTGCCTTATGCAGAATAAATGCATCAATTCATAGAAATGGAATTTGGGTAAATCCTCTCTTCTGAAACTTGAGGGAACCTCTATGTGATCGCCTGCCATCTTGCCCAGTCTTGAATATAGATCTTAAGAAAACTGTTGTATATAGGTGAAGAAAACATGAAAGTTGTTCCATGCACTCTTAAACATTTTGTTTAAAATGTAGATGCAAAACATCTACAGGGCTTTGTATAAAAATGTTTTAAACAATCCGATTAACTGCACTGAGTATTGGTCATTGTTTCCTGTAGGCCTCACCTGACCTAACCTCAAACTCTTCAATATGAAATTCTAGTACAATAAGAATTTGTGTGCATTGTTATTCACTCAGATTGTAGTTGTGTGGTTTTTTTTTTTATTCTTACAAGTCATTCAGAACATTTAAAAAAAGAAGAATCTGGGATTTGGAAGAGAATAGGACGGGGAAGTGTGTGGCAGAATAGAAGTGGAATTTTTCAGTGAATTCTGGGAAGAGAGAGCTGAGGCTGACAGCTTTGCTTTTAGAGGAACAGCCAATCACCCAAATCTATGTCAAATAGATTCATAAAAACATCCCCAGGCCATTAATGGGACCTGGGAGGTGGATGCTACCAAATTCCAGCCAAAAGATTAAAACATTGAATATTTGCATAAGAATTCAGATGTAGGGAAAATACCTCTTAGCATTCATCTTCTGTGCTGCAAAGCAAATGAGACAAATCCTGAATATCCCATTGAAAGGCCAAGCAGTCCTGTAAGGTTTCTAGAGAACAGGGAATGGAAATTTATTTGTGATGCCCATTTCCTATTTTTACAAATGTAAACCTGTGAGGTAGCTGTTAACAGCCTTTTTCTTTGTAAGGGTCTCCATAATGGCTCTCCTAGGGTTTTCCGGCATCGGTCTTCCGTTCCTCCCCTGCATGTTACCCTTATGCCACCGGCAGAGACTGCAGAAATCTGCATGCTGACCCAGAGACTGCAGAAATCTGCACGCTGACCGGGTGGGGAGGAATTACTATATTTTTAGTACTTCTGATTACAGCATTATACTTGGGCATAGTTATAATTGATTAAAAGATAAGATGTTGAAATCTCAACAGATGTTTTTAGTTGATAGAGATTTCAGATTTTTGGAAAACTATTGAAAAGAATGAAAATTCCACAAATTCTCAATTTGGACTTTTCGAATGGATAGAACTGCACATAGATAAGCCCCTAAGTAGGTATAAGGCTTGATGATATACAAATCCAAGTCACCAGGTATCTCTTAAGTTATTAATCCCCACTACTGAGGACAAAACCAAAACTAGCCCCTCAGAATGGATTTCCATGCCTTGATGCTTTAACAACTTTTAAAGTTATCTCCCTCTTTGGCAGGGGGGTGGGTAGCAAGCCAGTTAAATATTAAAGAGAATTGATTGATTTTTTTTTTATTGCTTGCCCTGTGGTAGTTTATAAGACACTGTTATTGAGGGACAAATGGACAAACATACCTTTGAAATACTATGCCGAGAGCTTTAGCTCAAAAATTAAATTTTACTGTCTTTACAAATAATCCTTTGCTGTCAAAAAAAAAATAAGCTCTCTTCATTTTTTTCTTTTTGCAGGAGAAAAACCCTACAAATGTACATGGGAAGGATGCACATGGAAGTTTGCTCGGTCTGATGAACTAACAAGACATTTTCGAAAGCACACTGGAATCAAACCTTTCCAGTGCCCGGACTGTGACCGCAGCTTCTCCCGCTCTGACCACCTCGCCCTCCACAGGAAGCGCCACATGCTAGTTTGAATGTCTCCGCCTCCCGCCTCAGCGCGTGCGGCTCCCCACTCACCCCGCTCTCTCTGTCCTCCCTCCCATTGTCTTAACTCATTTTTTACATGTACATTTTAATTTTGATTCAGCTGGTCTGAATCTCTGAATTTATATCATTCAAACTTCCATATGGTCAGTAGTAAATATTCTAATCTTCCCTCTCCTTACCACGGGTCAGACCTAAAGAATGTGAACACTTTTTTTTTTTTTCCGGGGATGCTAAGCAAACCCTTCTTACAGATACGTTTAATGTAATGAGAACAAGGGAACATGTAAACTAACAGAACCAATTGTCGGTTTGTCACTGTTTTCCTCAAAAGAAGTAAATGTATTAGAAATACAGTATCCAGCCTGGTAGTCCTTGCCAGAGACATTCATACCTCTGAGCCCTGTGATCGCATTGTGTGCTACATGGCAGAAGATGGGCGGATCCCTTCATAGGTTAGCTAGAAGGGCAGCAAGATTCCAGGCTAGTCCAGTCAGCTCTTCCATTGTCCTTCACCAGTCTTGCTTGTCAACTTGGATTTACCATTTCATCTAAATTAAGTCCTTTACCCTCCTTGGTGCCTGCAGCTAATAAGGAGGTCTTCGCCACCACTGGAAGATGAGCTAGAGCTGTATGTAGGTGACGTCTGTCGGTTCTGTCAGTTCAAGGGATGGGTGCTGTGTTTGCATCGCATGGAGTTGGAGCAGGGGGCAAATGAGGAAGCCAGCCAGGGGTTCTCAGTGGGATTTTATCATTTGGTTAGCTGTGCAGTGCGTTCCTAGAGCTTCAGTCTCTCCTAATATTCAGCTGCATAGAACTGTCCAGCAGAGCCAACTACTGATAGGGTCACCCCTACACCGATCTCCATTCCTACAGTGTCCTTAATGTAGGTCATCAGGCATTGATAGTAGGGACGCCACAAGAATAATTGCCTAATAATGGTAAAACAAAACAAAACAAAAACAACTTTTGGATAAGGTCTGCATGGCCTCCTTTTACCCAACCTACTTAGAGCTTTTTTTTGCAAACAAGGAAACGTTGAGTGGTAATTAGATCCCCATATCAAATTGCTCACATAGCTTTCATACAGAAACTATGTGTGAGCTATAAGGTGCCAAATTGGCTGTCATTTGCGTTCGTGACACGTATCATAAATAAGCATCTGCTAGTGCTTTCGTAGATTCATTAAGACCTGAGTGACACTATTTGTAAATAGTTGTGAAGCACACAGACCTTTACTTGTGGGGCGGGGGGGGGGCGCAGATTTTTGAAAAATACAGAAAATCACAGTTCAGGGATTCATATGTGTAGCTCAAAAACTCACAAATGTTTACCGTTGGAGCGGACTATCTCCTTTCACTATCAAGTATCCTGTCAGAAGAACAAACTGAAAATGACTCGTGTTTGTTGAAAAGAAATAGCACCATTATTTGGGGGAAGTTTTTCAAAAGCAGGCTTTTGAGCACCATAGTCTATATGCCAATAAAAATAATTCATGTATAGAAATGCTGTTGGTCCTAAATTGGAAGGAATTGGCGGTGGTGGTCAAATGTGGGCACATATAACCAAATGGCCCTTCATAAAGGATGGAGAAGAATGGAATCCTGAAGATTCATCCCAGCCACAGCTCAGGATCCAACAGCCTCACCTGGGAGGAATACGCTGTTTTTAAAGCTTCAGTGAATAAGTGATTCTGGAGGCCTGCGGATTGTGTGGGAAGCTTACTTTGATGCTATGTTAATAAAAGCTGTAAGGACTGTGCACCTAAGAGATCCCACTCACCAGCTCTCTGAACCGACGGAAGGGAAATGTGATTGAGAATTGGAAAATACTGTGTTATCTGGCACTTGGGTTTTTTGTTTTGTTTTTTAAGCACTGCAGAATTTGCTTGGAATATTAAAACATCCTAATTGGGCTCTTTCTTATTTTCTTTACTTTTTTTTTTTTTGTATGTTTGCCACTAAGATACAAATTGACAGATAAAATGGCTCTTGGAAAAGTAGGTATCATCTGTATTGTAAATGCTTAGTCACATTCATGCCAAAGTATTTCTTGAAATAATTCTTCCAGAACACACTGAAGAATTAAGTTTGAATGCAAGGAACTTTTTTGTTTCCATGGAGATAACCAGTTTATGTGTATTCCAACCCACAAAAGGTGAAAGGGGAGGCGAGAAAGGGGAGGGTTGATCTTTATATAATTAGTTTTCAGTCTGAGGCCAATTAATAGAAAGTTTCATGGGTTCTAATGGAATTTAATGTGTACTATGGCATATGAAAGTTCTGTCGAGAAGTGCAAGCAAGACCCTGCAGAGACTATTACATTATTATTTAGGTTGCTCCAATTGTGTTAACAGTTCATTAACAAAGTTCCTTTTTAATTTGGGGGGAAAAAGCAACCCAGAGAAGCCATTCCCTGTTCCCGTGCTAGGCTATATACTAATTGGCTCTTTCCAAATTTTACTTTTTTATATATATTTGTATTTTACTATGGTAGTTGAGAAATTTAGTCTCTTAGTCATTTTTAGCTGTTATTGTGGGAGACCTCAAGATAAGATGCCCTTGAATGTGTGGTTTTAATGATGTGCCACGTTACTATCAATGGTGATTTTAATTGCAATATTTAAGTTGGTGAGAATGATTTGTAAACATGGAGTTAGTGTCATATAAATTGTTATAGAATTTCTTCAGTTATCCAAGTGTCATCTTGAGGAAAAAGTCAGAAAACTTAAATCTGAATCCATCATATTTTAGAGTTTTAAAATGTGAATCTACATCATAAGTGGGCATTAACATTCTGAGTCGCCTGGTTTGGAGAGTGAGTGAGCAGCATAGTTAGGCTGAACTGAGGAAATGCTAAGTATGCAGAAGTTTCAAGAGCCTTGGAACAGATTTATGGGGGAACTATACATGTATATTTTATTACACCCATCTGCACTATCAGTGTTGCACTAATGTGGAATTTAAAAGACTACATTGCTGATACTGTATGTCTGCACATCATTCCTGGTTAGATTGTTTTAAAAGACAATCTCAAAGATCTAAAGTTTTAAAATCAGTTGGTTTGAAAATACAGTCATCTTGAAGGAATTGCTGTCATACATGAAGTTGCTCGGAGTGGTATTTATTCTCTTCCAGGTCAAGGTTAATAATTTCTAAATGATTGCAAATTTACTTAAGAAATAATACATTTACGAAGCCATTTTCCATGCATTAAACGAGGGCTACAATATTATGTTTTACAAATACTAGCACTTTTTTTTTTTTGCTGTTATGTATTTAGTGTTAGAGGGTCAAAATAATCTTTCTGCTTAGCATCTCTTAAACCATGCCTGCAAGTATAGCAGGATTATTACATTTACAGTACTTTAATACTTGTATAAACTATGCAGAAATTTTTAATAAAGTGTAATATATTTTATAAGCTAATAAGACTGAATGGGTAAAGGTTTTTAGCATGCATTAGTATACTTGCAAATACTGAAACATTTTGGTAATCTTTCTTACTAAAGATGTGAATGTTTAATGTACCTTCTCTGTTTCTACTCTGTAGTCCAATGGGAATTCAGTAATGACATTTTGTCATGTCAAACTGTGAACATAAATTTGTACTGTACAGCCCTCATATACTATATACAGTATGCAATATATGTATTATATACTTGTTAATAAAACCATCAGAATATTAAGTGTGATCATGTGATTACTATATATGCAGCGATCACAAGGAACAAAACCTAGCAATGTAACATGTAAGAGACCCTACTTAGAAATTTCCAAGTAAATCACTCTTTGATAGGCATCCATTGTTGATGGAGGGAAAGAAAAACAGATTAACTGAAAGATGCACTAAAAAAAATTAACTCAGCCCTAAAGCTATGTCCCTGGTTTTCTGATAATGGCCAAGAAGAAATGCAAGCACAAACCATGAAGCTGCAGACAACCCAGCACATATCTACAAAGTCACCTAACGCATATCTTGGAATGGTCATTTGTTGTTTCTGACTTTTACCTGCTTCCAAAACAATTCCAGTGCCTTGTATTAAAAGGCACGTGCTAAATACTTTATTTTTAAAATAAAAGATCAGGATTCATACTTTTGGGAGTTGGGGAATCAGGGATGAGACAAAAAGTGCATTGAAGTAAATAATTTGGGATAAACATTTTTTAGTAAGCCACATCTCTGGACACTGCTGTGTCCACAGCAACACAGGAATAGCAAGTAACTTCTGATGAAGATTTGGAGTTTTTTGGTTTAAAGCAAAATATAATCTACCTTCCCCACTGCCCCTAAAGATATTGGCTTGTTAGAGCTCAAGCAGCTCCCAGCCCAGGCTGCATTTTAACGAGACGTGAAATAATGTCTGGCTGGCACTTAATCACATGACTCAACTTCACAGGTTGGGAGAGTGGAAAGAGGTTGAGAGAAGCTTGAATTCAGCCTTTTCCAGGACTGCTTGTATCCTGAGACACATGACTGCAAGCTCAAAAAGGTATTGCGTCTACTGTGAGCCTCCTAATCGAACATTGGCGTGGATCAGTCTAGATGGTTGGCTGTAATGCTCCCATTCATGGTACCTGCCGAGTTCAGAATGACACCCAACCCAGGAGGCAGTATGTTAAAGCTGGATTCTGCCAAGGTGGGTGATGAGGACAGGGACAAATGCAGATTTTATGAGAAACAGTTCTTTTGAGGAATGGTTGAACAAAGGAAGGATGTGCACTGCACACACACACCCCCATTCACAGTCATTGCCCAATATTTTAAATGCTGTTGGATTGAAGAAGAAGGGATTGGGGGAGAGAGATCTCCAAATTGAAAAGGTACATGTTGTAAATCAGAATTTTTTTTTAATTTTTAAACTTTTTTTATTGTTTTATTACAGTTGTCCCACCTTTTTCCCCTGTTGCTCTCCCCTGCCCTGCCCAACCGCCCAACCCCCTCCCACAGTCAGTCCCCACCCATTGTCCTTGCCCGTGGGTCCTTGATACCTATCCTTTGACTTACCCGTTCCCCCTCTTTCCTCCATTATCTCCCTCCCCCTCCTCTCTGCTCTCTGTAAGTTTATCCTTTAAGAACAGATTTCTTTTAAACCCTATTACTTGGGTGATGGGGAGCTTGTGGCTCTCACCAAGTCTGGACAGACGTGTTGATTGCTCCGAGTGCTTCTTCTCTTTACGTCCCTGAGCATCCTGAATGGTCTGGGTTACGGACAGAAGACAGAAGCGGGATCTTCAGGCATTTGGACCATACCTCTTTCACACTGAGCACATTCGATGTTTCTGCCTTCTGTCAAGACTCCGTGTATTAGGGCTCTCCAGAGAAACAGAACCAGTATTCCCCTGCCCTGGCTC